TGTGAGTTAACTAATTCCATTCTTTGGTTTAAGACAAAGTGAAGTGCTTTTGTTTTCCACTTAAAATTGAAAAAGTCCAGAGGCACCTGGGCAGCTCAGTTAGTTAAGCTTCTTCTGACACTTGATCTCATCTCAGGTCTTGATCTCAGGGTTGTGAGTTCAAGCCCCAGGTTGGGCTTCACTCTGGGCATGAAGCCTACTTAAAAAATAAAATAATAAAATAAAATAAAATAGAAAATGTCCTGATGACTTCAATTTATATTTGACATAGATTTATATTTACTTAAAAATATTTAGAGTTGTGGCTGTGAAGAATATTTGGAGGAGCTCTGCAGTTTCACCAACTCTGCCACAGGAGGGGAAGAGCTGCTAAATGATGGTGATTTGGGAAGAGAACTGGGCTCTGTACACTCTTCTTTCATTTGAGAACTGGCCTGCCCTCAGACAGCTGGTGTTCTCTATTTGGACCATACAATCAGCATAGCAGGAAAGACCCTCTGCCCATATGGTAAGTCTAAAATTTGCCTGTGCTGTCCTTGATTGGAAGATGGTATAAGGGTATTTATTTTAGGATTTAGAGGGGTCTGCTTGCCTAACAGTATAAACCGCAACTCTAATACAAACATTGTCATGTTGAAGGTAACATTTTACTCTCTACTTATCTTACTCTGTGTTTATCCCTAAATTAAATCTGAACCCAGGCAGGTAAGAGGAGTGTTATTTTTGATCCCTTCATTCACCCACCAGCTCCCAACGAGATGATATGTATAAAGACACCTAGATGAACAAAACCATTGCATGATTAAGGAATACCAAAGACCTTGCTATGTTTGGAAAATATAGGACACAGTGGGAGAATGGAGGAATTGGGAGTAGGTATGTAGGCTGGGGTCAAATGATCCAGGGCCTTGTGAGCTATCAAAGCCATTGGAACTCTGTTGTATATTCAATGTGGAGCCATCGAAGGATTTTAAATAGTGACAGTTAGATATTTTCCAAAGATTACTCCAGCTTGAATGTGAAAAATGAAATGGAGGGCAAAGGAAAAAAGGCAGAGCAACAGTATAAAGAGCTGGTGCCCTCACCGAGGTAAGTGTCCGGAAGGCAGCACCACGGACACAGCATCTAGCCCAACGCCCAGCATCCCAATGGCCTCAGTGTGTGTGTATGTGTGTGTGTGTGTGAGAGAGAGCCCAATGCCCAACATCCCAATGGCCTCGTGTGTGTGTGTGTGTGAGAGAGAGAGCCCAATGCCCAACATCCCAATGGCCTCCGTGTGTGTGTGTGTGTGTGTGTGAGAGAGAGCCCAACGCCCAACATCCCAATGGCCTCTGTGTGTGTGTGTATGTGAGTCAGTAAAAGAATAAATCATCCAGATAAGAAAGAATGAGAGAGAGAAATAGAGTACAGTAACAGTAAGCCTGACATTAGAGGTGGATCAGAAACCCCTAGGCTTAAGAGCTCTGTTTTTCATGTTTGCTGGTTCATGAGTCATAGTTGAAACCATAGGCATGGGTTAAATTTCATAAGGAAAAATTATTCAGCTAACATTTATTGAGATCCTTTGTTATGCCAAATGCCATTCTGGGTGGTGGATCTTGTTTTAGGATGTAGGCCATGACTTCCATCATTTAATGAGCAAACAGAGAAAAAGGGGAACTCAATGAAGCCTGAGCTGGAATTATCAGAAAACCAGGAGGAGGAGCTGTGGAGGATGGTGCTTCGAAAGTCCATGGAGGAAAAGTTTCAAGAATTTTAGGAGTCATTAAGACTCTTAATCATTAAGAGTGTCAAGTATCACAAAGGAATTAATAACTTAGTAAATAAAAATTGTCCTTTGGATTGGTTAGGAAGTCAATGATATTCCAAAGTAGAGTGGCAAATTATGGGGAAAAAAAAAAGGTCAAGGGAACATGGATGAAGAAACAATGAAAATTTCTTGGAAGAAGAAACTTTAAAAAGGGGTGTATTTTTATGAGCCTTGATGTTTGAATAGGAGCTCATTTGGAAAACAGAGGGAGAAAACAATCAGAGCCACATAGAGTTGCAGCCAGATAAGGAGAAACTTCTTAACCATTTAGGTGTTATATATATGTGGGCTGAATTTTAAGACCAAGAATGGGACAGACCTCTCTCCTACCTAGAAAGTAGCTCAGGAGTGCCAGGACCAAATAAAATGGTAATCTCTGCCTCATTTTCCTCATCTGTAAAATGGGATACTAATAGCCCTCATCTCACGGGTGGTTGTGCAGATAGAACTGATGGATGTAAAGCACTCAGAACATTGCCTGGGTTACAGTAAATATCCTATAAGTGTTAGCTGTTACTGCTGTTCTAATTATTACTATTATTATTATTATTATTATTAAGTTAATGTCTAGAAGCTCTCTTGGGCATTAACAAACCTGAATAATTTCCACTTCCAGAGGTATCAACCATATCATCTATATTTTGTCTATTTTATATGTTTCCATACATAGAAGGCATACATTTTATAAAAACTAAGGTGCTATGATGTATGATTCATGTCATTTTTTAAGAATATAATGGCATCTGAGAATGGCTTAATGATTTGTTTTTTTAGTTCTCAGTATTTAGAGAAATTTTAGATTTTAATACAAAGAGGTAGAATTTTATAATAAGCCAGAATATATGAAATTAATAATGGGCTTTTATACTGTACCCTAAGCACTACAGATTCTAACTATAAAGCCTATAATTTTCCCATTTTACGTTTCATTAATTCAGAGAAAGACAGATTGTGAGGGTAGAATGCATAATGGGTCTGACATGAATCTAATCAACATGTGTTGTTATTTGGAGGAACAAAAAGAAAAATAATGTAAGTCACTTTAAATGATTTCTGTTGGCTGTGTATTCTTAACTGGCAAGCTCCATCTCTGCAACCAACTAGTTCTGTGACCTTGGGAAAGTTACAGGACTTCTCTGTGTTTAATAATAAGTTTGAGATATTACTGGACCATCACATCATGGAATCTTCTTCAGGGCACCATTAAAACAACAATAACAACTCTCAAAGCAGGTGTTCATTACCAGTCCACTGACAATCCCTGCCACATTCTGTCTGAAGGCCAGGGACAAAATCACACCAGGTGGCATCTGATCCAGTTAAAACATACACAGTAGCTCAGTAAGTGCTCAACACTGAAAGGTTTTAGGGATACCAAAAGCCTATGGCACCTCCTCTGTCTTTTGACAGAGGTGTCCTTGATTTTATCTTTACTGAAAGCAGAGTGTATGGATAATGAGTCTCAAAGACTATTCCTTAACCTAGAGCTGAGCAGCTGGTCTTTGGCAGTCTATGTGGATACATATGGATGGAACACCATGTAAATATCTACAACTACTTGGCAACCCTGGTGGAATCACTGAAACATAGGGCCTGGGACTTAAAAGGATCTCCACAAATGCATGCTAAAAGAATGAATCTATCTGCATGGGGCATGATATACAGACTAGTAAGATCACAGGGTCTTAAACTATTCCAACCTTAGATCAAATACCAGCTCTAACTACTCTAAGTAGATTGTTTGCGAAGACTGCTTCCACCCTCTGAGCCTGTACCCTCATCTGTAAGATGGGAATGATAATACCTGCTCTGGAATATGCAGTGAGGCTGAGATAACATGTTTCTATGGATGTAGGTATGCATGTGTATATAATTTATTTATACCCTGTAATAGCCAAGATCCTAGATTCTAAATTTCAGAAACCAATACCAGCTACTTTAAGCAAAGAGAGGATAGCTTTAGAATTCAGGGATTTAAAGCTAGATTTTAAGTAAAAACAGATATTGCGGATATGTCAAGACTCTTATCTTTGATCTCTTCCTCCTTCTCTGCACCTGCTTTATACCCCTTTCTCTTCTCCTAGAGAATCACAATTCTGGAGTTTGCATATTATTCTTCCAACCACCTCCAGAATAAAAGTCTCTGAGTCTTAACTTCATTTGCAAATTCATGGGAGAGAGGATCTAAATGTCCTGGTTTCAGTCAGATGTCCACCTTGGGGGCTCAATTTACAGTGACCAGAGGATAGGCTCATGTATTACAAAAGCGACTATTAAGGGGATTGTAGATCAGGTTGGAGCCAGGCTTTCCAGGTGGAGAATCACTGTGAACTGAACAGAAGCACTGTAAACTTAGAGTCAGTCTCTATAAATTGTCCTCCCCAAAGCATTCAGAACAGAAATAAGATATGTAAAGTACCTGACACAATGCCTGGCAAATAGCAGACATTAGATAAGAGGTCATAATTACTATAAAGACGAAATATAAAGATACATCTATGTCTTCATTGAATCAGCTTTCACTGAGCCCCCATGTTATAGTTTCAACATTGGGCTTGTGCTGGACTAGGAAGTGACAAAGGCCCGGGCCATTAAGAAGCCCACTGTCACACAGAACAGGGTGACTACCTTGTTCATCTCTCTTTAGTCCCCAAACATTGTCCTTTAAGAAAAGATTCCTCTTTCCAAGATATGGTAATTCTGGTATGTTTTGCAACTCAAAAGAGATGTTCTTTCTATGCAATTTTCACAGTAAATTAATCTCATCTTTCTAAGCAAGTAAGCATCCTGATTTGGAGCAATTCCAAGCTCGTGGTTCTTTCATAAAAATATCTCAAAGGGCTTTTCAAAGGAGCATTAGAGCTGTGAGACTACTACGAAAACTGAATCAAAGGGGGAACCGAGAGAGAGAGAGAGAGAGAGAGAGAGAGACAAAGAGAGATTGGGTTAGGGGATATCACATTCCCTTTTCCATCCAATGATAAAACCCCGAATAACTGGAAAGTCTCATGTAATCAGGATTATACATCTACTAGCCATAAAGTATAAAACAAATCACCTGTATCATGTTGTCCAATTGTCACAAATTAAACACAAATACCCAAGATGAAACAGAAAAATCAGAGGTCTTAAAATACAGTAAATATGGAGAAAGAGGAGACAGGAGTGTTCACAGATGTGGTTCTGTGCCAGAGCATAGGGAGATACCACGATCAAGAAGGTGGTTTTCCCAGGGGGAGGCTTATCCATTGCAATCTCGATGTGCTGACCCCTGCAATTTCCCCAAATGTGGGAAACTCAACTGCCTAATTCGTGGTGGTGGGGGCCTGCATCTGTGCTTTCCCCTGATGATTAAATGTTCAAAAAAAAAAACCACTACAGTAAATAGGGGTTTCTGGCCCTGGCTTCCCCATCTTCTGCATGTATGCCCCTGGATAAGCCTCTTTGTCCTCACTTGTCCTCAGGTTTCTTATGCAAAAAGAAGACGTTGAGTTTTAAATTTGCCACTGTTCCTTTTAATTCTAAACCAGGCATTGTGTTACGTTGGCTGTGAGGGTATCAAGTTCTATTTATTTCTCTTATTTTTGGATAAAATTAATATATACATATGGTGGAGAATTTAAAAAACACAGATGTATGAACGTGATATAAAAAATAAGCCAAACTCTACCCACCAGCCTCTCCTGGATCCAATATTATTGTTTTCAGTTTTATTCTTCAGAGTCTTCTTTCTTTCTCTGCATGCATATATAATTTGTTTTGCAAAAAGGGGGTTTGGATCATGTATAAAGTGTTTATACACTTTGCTTATTTATACCATGAGCATGTAGGGCTGCCTATTGACATCCAGCATCTTCTGAGCATCTTAACTGCAGCTGTAGCAATTCCTGCACCAGGCACACACAGATGCCCACTCAATTTTCCAGCCTCCTTAGGAGTTAGGAGGTAACCTGGGTGATCCAGGCTTCATCGGATGCTTGCGTCTTTCATGTGGAAGAGGGTGACATGAGGAAGGAGACTCCACGTAGAATCCATCTCTCATCACACAGCCAAGAGGATGGAGCTTTCAGGAACAGCAATGGTAGTGGCTCAGCGGTAGGACCCAGCCTCAGAATTCAAGGGAAAACTTTCTGGTGTCACATTTAGAAATCGTGGGGCTGGGGCGCCTGGGTGGCTCAGTCGGTTAAGCGACTGCCTTCGGCTCAGGTCATGATCCTGGAGTCCCAGGATCGAGTCCCGCGTCGGGCTCCCTGCTCGGCAGGGAGTCTGCTTCTCCCTCTGACCCTCCTCCCTCTCATGTGCTCTCTCTCATTCTCTCTCGCAAATAAATAAATAAAATCTAAAAAAAAAAAAAAAAAGAAATCGTGGGGCTGTGTCCGCATCAATGACACAGCAGAGATCACACATTTTTCTTAGTTGCATGACCTGCAGTCATGATTATCTGACTATCCTAGAAATCCCTATGAGCTGATATCCTTTAGTAAATTCCCTTTGTACTTAAAGAGGTTTCCGGTTTTGGTAACTAAAAACTCTAAGCGACACAACTATATTCCTTTGTCAATAAATTCTCAGTAAAAATGCCATTTTAAGGGCAAATATGCCATCAGATACATGCGGCAATATACATTTTAACTCTTCTTTCATTATCCATTTTTTAAATACAGTTAATGCTGGTAATCTTCCTGGAACATATTTTGGTATGTAATATTATTTGAAGCTTTAATATTTTCTCCCAGATATTTAAGCAGTTACCTCAATCACAGTCATTGAAAAATGCTTCTATTTCCTGATGTATATCATATATGTCAAGGCTAGCAATGCCTCTTGGTCCTATAATAACTCCATTATTCTGTCTGTAGCCTCTGGACTTGATACAACAATTTTAAGCACTGTATCCTTTTTTTTAAAGGTTTTATTTATTTGTCAGAGAGAGAGAGCACAAGCAGGGGAAGTGGGAGAGGGAGAAGCAGACTCCCCACTGAGCGGGGAGCCTGATGCAGGACTCGATCCCAGGACCCTGGGATCATGACCTGAGCTGAAGGCAGACGCTTAACTGACTGAGCCACCCAGGTGTCCAGCATTGTATCCTTTTACTGTGTTTTAAAATGTGGTAAAGGAAATGCTCCCGTGATTCTCCTTTGTCCAAACTATACAGGTTACTTGCACCTGCTTATTCTTCTGAATAATGCTATGTTTTAATGACCAAGCAAGGTTTCTTGCTGTAAACGCTTTAAGTTCTTTATGGGTGCGTGATCTAGAGACAATATAAATTCTAGACATTAGCAACTCAGGATTGGTTGGAAAATGATCATCTGGATTATGACTTCTTCAACTTTGGTGACGCCTGAATTACACAGTCTAAAGACGTCAAAGGAAAGCTGCATTTGGCATCACAAATGCTTTGCTGCTTTCATCTTCAGTTACTTGTTCCTCTTTTCTCTTCATGCCAACGGGGCTAGCCCTCCAATGTTGCTTTCGTTCTGTTCAGCGAATCCTTTCCTGCCACAGGAAGCCCTGATATGCATGAGATCTTCCTTAGCAATAGATCTTGGAACAAGTGGACCTCTGCTGACGGTGACCCTCCCCATCACAGCAAGCTCTCCTCTGACTCCCTTCTATTTACGAACACAGACTTCTCTTCTGGTGTCGTATTCTAATAGGAAATCTTTTGCCATGCCATGACATCTCTGGCTGGATGTGAAATAGTGCAGATAACTATAAACGCTGTCATTCAGAGGCCCAGCAAATAATGCTTGATCCACGCCACATGTGAAACTCTCAATAGAGGGCCATCAGTCGGCCTGAATTGCCCTACCTTTAAAAATTATGCTTTTATTTATTTTTTGAAGGCTGGGCAAAATAAGTTAAAATCCAATATAATCTCTCATAGAAGTGGGATTTTTGGCCCCAGGCTTTTTCTATAATCAAAGGTTCTCACATGCTGGTTCTATTTTAAACATCTGATTAATTATCTCAGGAATTATAATGACCTCAGATTTTAGTCTCTGCAATCATTTTTGGCACAGTTTAATTATTTATTTAGTAGTTATGATATGCAGAACCGGCCCTGGAAGAATAGGATTGAATAAAATAGCAGAATGAAATCTCCATTTCAAAAACAAATTGTTAAAAAAAAATCAAAGATTTCTGATAACTCCTGTCTTCCTATAATATATTACGGATATATCTTTCTCATCCAGAAATGGAAAATAGAAAACAGTGGATGTCCACTAAAAGTAAAAAAAAGAAATGCTCTATTTAGTTTATACACGTACTTGAATTTCTTGAAGAAGCCAGTAGAGGGCAGAAGATGCTGTACATAGGATATATTTGCATAAAAAATATTTAAATTGAGATCTGAAATCCTATTTCAAAGGAAAGTGAAGGTGCTTTGCGGTAACTAGTTTCAGGAGATCACAGCTCAGTCAGAATGCGGCACATTGCACAATAGGGCAATTGTGATTTTTTATTTCCAATTCAGCCAACTCTCCTAAACTCTTTCCTTCTGAACCCAATAGTTTAATGAAAACAGAAAAACCAACATTTATTCAGTCATGACATCTGCTACTTACACATTAATAATCTTGTTTAAATGTATACAGGTAAGGTTCTAGTATCAGTCCCATTTTACAGATGGAGAAACCGAAGCTTGCCCAGGTTAAGTCACGGGTTCAGTGTTAGAAAGCTGTAAATCACGGCACTTGATTTTATCTGCTCTGGCCTCAATATTTGTGTCCCCTTAAAATTCATGTATTGAAATCCTAACCCCCAAGAGTGACGGTATTAGTAGGTGGAGCCTCTACTAGGTTTGGAGGATGGAACCCTCATGAATGGAATTCGTGCTCTTACATAAAAGACCCCGCAGAGCTCCCTTGCACTTTCCACCACGTGAAACTGTACCAACTCTGAACCAGGAAGAGGCTCTCACCTGATCTTGCCGGCACCCTGATCTCAGACTTGCAGCCTCCAGAACTGTGAGAAAAAAAATGTTTGTAAGCTACGCCGTCTGTAGCATTTGGTCACAGCAGCCCAAATAGACTAAGACCGACTCCAAAATCTATACCCCATCCACCACCAATACCTTCTGCTGCATAACAGTGACTGTGTGACCATTCCAACACTCCCAGGTACAATTACCCACTGTTCAGAGCTTCGGTGTTAGTCCTGCAAATGAACTGATCCTTTCTTTTTCTAAGTCTGATGTGATCTTTTAAAAAGCTGGGTTAAAAAGCAAACAAAAAACCCCGACTTAAAGACAACTCTGGACACAGAGCCTACTGTGGGTAACTGGGAAGTGTGTGGTCTGGCTGGAGAGCTTCTTCCTTTCCACCTGGAAGGCAGGGCAGAGCCTCTGCCAGGCAGCTCCCAGTTTCCAGCAGCAGCAAACTGTGCCCCCTCCCCTCCTCCTTCCCTGTTTCCTCCTCTTAAAACAAATCTCAGTTAAACCAACTGGCTTGCCTGGACCTGATATTCTCAGCTTGTGATATCCTTCATCTCTGGCACATTTGCATTTGAAGAAAGATTAGTCCTTTTACAGTGGAGGGCAAATAAATTTATCTGATGGTAGACTTTTAGTTGTGAGTGACTGGGGTGGTAGTAAGGGCAAATATTCTTATATTCTTACCATCGGAAGTCTGATCCCCATGAAACAACACGGTGAGTTCAGAGTCTTTTTTTTTTACTATCCTAGAAAAGAGATGACAATCTTTTACTAGAGGATCCAGGTGTGGGAGCTAGAGCTGAGAACAATCAGTGTGCTGGTAGGGGCCTGCAAAAAGATACATTCTGACCTGGATATAACAGAGGCTGGCAGCAAAAAGTCAGAGCTGTTTGTAAAAGTCTGCTAGATTGGCCTCTCTGTGTTCTGTATCCAAAACGCCCCTGCTTATCTTCAGTCAATACCCTGAGATTCCCGGCATCATGGTTAATTGATTTAATGCCCTGTGGGATAGGCATTATACAATGCCCCCTTGGGTGATGGATTGGCAATGTGGCTACTCCTGAAGATAAAGCCAGCAGTGATGAGAAAGTGGAAGAGAGACAGAGGAAAGAGAGAGAGAAAGAAACCCTGGGGAATCTCATCAACATGATACATACTGAAAGTCACTTAAATGGGCTATCGAATTCCTTTCATTTTTAAGTGTGTCTTTTAACTATTTCACCATCACTATTCCATGCCATTTTATGTTGTTTTGCTTATCTTAATAAAGAAGGAGGGAGAGAAAGAAGAAAGGCTGCAGGAAAACAGGGAGAGATGAGACAGAGAATGAGGCAGGGGGAGAGAGGGGAGAGGAGGGAAGGAGGAGAGGAAGAGGGTGGGTAGCATAAAGGAGAGCTAGTTCTCTGA